TAGAGCAATTGGTATACTTTAATGTCTTTTAATAAGTTTAAAACTTTTTTGCATGAGTCTATTTCTCGTAGGATCGTTAGTGAATTTGTTTGAACTATGACGAATGGAATAGAAAGTAACGAAATGAAACCATGAAATTTTGAAAAACGAAATTTTGTAATATGAAATTTAAAATGTAACAGTTTTGTTTGCACTATGACGAATGGAATAGAAAGTAACGAAATGAAACCATGAAATTTTGAAAAACGAAATTTTGTAATATGAAATTTTGTAATATGAAATGTTGTAATATGAAATTTAAAATGTAGGTAACAGTTTTGTTTGAACTATGACGAATGGAATAGAAAGTATGATTTCCTGAAATTAGCATCATTCCCTGGAGAACTTTCTTTGTTCCAGAGATCGTATCTCGCGGTCGAGACAGAAGAAACTCGACAAATAGAAACAATTGAACTGTTGGTGTTGCTCTCAGTTTTTCGATCTTTCTGCCCCTTGGAATACGCCTTCGCATAATTCCGTTCGTTTTACCAAGACATCGTTCGACCGACATATCACGCAGGAAAGCGTAATACGGTTCGACGTTAAAATAATGATCGTGGAACACGATCGTTTCTCCCTTTCCTAACGAAGTGGAAAAGAATCTCCCTCGAACTGAGAGGAAGACGAAAAAAAGGTGAGATGAAAGCCATAAGATTTCTCGAACGCGGCAACGGGGTTCTTTCTACGCTACAAAATGGGGAATATCTTTGTAGCCATCGTGGAAACCCCTCTATTGTCACACATTCTCATCCCCATAAAGAACATGACGATGACTGTTCATCGACTGTAACATATACATTAACCCTTAGCACTCTTATGTCGAGTGTGATTCGACATCAATTTTTATCTCAGGAGCACCTTTGTCAAATCCCACTGGTCATTTTTTCAAGCCCAAACCAAAGAGATATCGTACATTTGAAAATTACAAAATACAACAACAGTGTAAATCAAACACTTATTTTAACAGGTAAATTTCAAATAAAACACTTAAACGCGTTGGGAGCTGCTGGTAACAAAATTGAAATATAATTCGGAGTGCAAAGGGTTAATAAAATTTCAATAGAAACGTTGTGAATCTTTCGAGATAAAAAGTAAGACATTTTCAATTATCATTTGTTTCATCAACGTTTCATAAATCGTAATTTCGGTTTCATTGCATTGAACAATACGTAACGAAGCTGTCTTGGAATATTATGTTTCTACGTCATGGATCACCATTTTGTAAAATGGCAGAACTATGATGAATGGGATAATGCTAGTGTCGAACGAACAACTAATTTTTTTTCCCCATGCACTGCCATGAAACAATACGAAAAAAACTATCCCAAAGCGATGAATTGACGGGCGTCAGGCACGTGGATATCTGAATGTCACGTATCAAGGTATAACAAATACAAACTAAATTGTTAGATATCAAAATGTTTAGACACGTGACACCTGTCGACATGTTTGTAGATTTCTATATATAGTAACAAGAAAAAAATATGTAGCGATGTTAAGTCACGTGGCAGCGATGCAGATGGAAGAGTACGTTAAAATAAGTGTAAGTTCGTAGTAAATTTCTAAACTTCACATTGCCATAAGAGTACATTAATATTTATCTATAAAATTATGTTACAGTTTGGTATCGAAACCGTTGACTTTTTGTTCGTTGTTAGAATCAGACCTGGACACTTCTAAAATAACATGTTATTTGAAATAATTTTGAAACGATTGTAAAATTTGTATAATATTCGAATTTGTTCACAGTCTTTCGGATTATTTCTTTGCTTTAAACAAATTTGATAAAACAAATCTTTTTGACAATTGTTATTTTCAGGATTATTTCTTTTGACCAATTTGAGACAAAGGAATGACGAAATTACTCATTATTTGAAATTGCTTTATTTCGAATGATATTATTCTTATTTTCAGATAACGATACTGAAAATAACAGTTGGAAATAGATTATTTCAAATTGGTATTTTTTATTTTTGTTTCAAACGAGATTTGCCCAGGTCTGGTTGGAATCAATAGATTTCAATTCTAAACTATACAAAAACCGAGCAATTGTATTCTATAATAATTCGAGTCATAGAATTTTATCGTGAACTGAAAACTTAATGAAATAGAAACCATCAATTTACCACTTTGGTGGTAAAAAAACTGTTAACATTCAGAAAGTTGGAACCAGTTTTCACGCAAGTAGAAACTGAATCGTTACGATCAGACAAAGTAGATAAGGCAGTTTCTAGTCAGACAATTGCAGTAAAACGATTCTACAGATTCTTGTTAAAAAGGTGTGCTTTCTTATTTGTCCAAAAAAGCAAACAACATGTAAACAAACACGTGTCGATCTTGGTTTGAATTTTCTTACTAATCGTTAAAATAATTCAAAACAGAAATTATACAAAGAGAAGAATTTTAATTTCTGCTAATTACAAATCGATCGATGAATCAGTTTCAGAGGTATTAAAATCAGAATTCTACAGGGTGTTGCGTTTAAGTGCGAAACGTGGAATATCTCACGATTAAAATGATCGAAAAAGTGTTCCAATAAAAGTTGTTCTACTAAAAAGGGCACATTATGTGGTATGAATAATTCTTGGAGGAGATTTCAAGGTCAAACTAATTTTTTTAAATGGAACCATTTTTTTGTTAATAATATTATAGTGTTTGTTGAGACAAATTCAACAACCTTTTACATGGCATCGTTCCATGCTATAGAACCACAATTATTGCGACGCGTTGGTTAAAATATATAATATAAATCCTACAATTAATATGAGAAATTATGAATTATATTACACTGTCAACGTATAAAAAAAATTAAGTTGAATAGCATTTCTAATTTTCCTAATTTCGTTTCAAGATTTGAGATTCGAATCTTCAAGAATTTGTTAATTTTTTTTTTTAGTTTTGAACAAGGTTGAACGGTTTTTCATATTGTACCAAACTTCGTAGTTCCTTCGGAACTCGATCGTGAAATTACGGGTTGCTGGCGTTGGCGGGTAAACGAACGTTAAACTGACAGCATCATTATGGCGGCTGTCTTTCGTGTCGATTGAAACGTACGCCAGCCTGACTGACCCGAGCGCATAATATTTCAACCGAAACGTAACTAGCAGACCGCACGAAACGCGCGATGGGATAACGTTTACATCGACGACGGATGACAAAACTCGATGTTGTACGAACAAAGCGACATACTCGGTTAATATGACGTTAATATCGACGAATGTTCTCGCGGGAGGTGAAACAGCCAGACAGGTGTTTTGATCCGCTAACTAGCAACGAGAGTCCACTTAAAACCCCTCTGGAGCGATACGTTTAATTCACGTAAAAGTTCACGGACGTTTTCTTGCAAATTTTAATCGCGATTCTCAGTTTTCGAATCAGGCGTTGTTTAATACGAAGTCGAATATTGAAAGATTGCACGTGGTGTGTCGTGTACGTCGCGACAACGTTGGAAATTGTTGGATCACGACGAAGTATAAAATGCTGGTTGGTCACTAATTTATTTATTAATGAAGCGCGATTGAAGTCCACGGCGAGGACCCTACAACAGTCTGCTCGGAATTTGGAGTAATCTCGTTCGGATTTTAGAGACTCAGTCTCTTTCTTCGTATTTTAGAGTATGATCTGATTTTAGAGTCTGGTCTTTGTAGCTCGCAGTCTACCTTATATCTAATTTTAGTGGCTGGAGACGCCAGAATCGGAATGGAAAATTGGGAGTGGTTTATCAGGCATTGGCTAGTTGGGATTGTAAGCTACATAACCTAAAATTTGTTTCAGTACTTATTCTTGCAACCTTGTTAAAAATTTTTTCTACTCAAACTTATTTTTATCAAGGTCATAACTTGAGAATTAATTTTGCTAGTATCATAATGGTAAACCATATATGGCTGACGTGGCAGTAAAAGTGTTAAGAGAATTCAATATTCTGATACTTGATAACTACATGTCACATATTTATACCGTGGATCTCTAAAATATTTTGACATATGCAAATAACATATGTGATACATGAATATTACATAAACATGTGCAGTAATATAGTAACATATGTTATAAATTTATTGACAATGTGTCATAGTATTATGTCATAGTAGAATTATTTTTTCTGGTATCATAATGGTAAATCTTGTCATCCATATATGGCTGACGTGGCAGTCAAAGTGTTAACCCCTTAACGTTCATGCTCGAGTCTGACTGCTTTGAAAAACAATATTTGTTTAATTCAACGGTTTAAGGAATGAAAATATTTGGTTTCCTTCAAATTATACGTTAGATACAACATTATAATTAACAAAAACCGTATTTTTAGAAACAAATCCAATAAAGAAACCTGATCATTGTTGGTTAACCCGAAAAATATGAGCGTTAAGGGGTTAAGTAGTATCTATCGCATATTGTGCAATGAAATCTGTATTTCATTTTGCCTTTTTCAGTTTGATGAACAAGTTTAGTTCCTGTTTCAATTATTGAGTTTCTTTTCCTTTAACTGATAAATGGTTAGCCTAGGACTGAATCCACTAAGCAAAGATTTTGTGTTGCGCGTATGGCCGCACGATGGCGCTTTACTGGTCGACCGTAAGGGGAATCCCCAAGTGAAGCTTGCCATGCGGGGAATTCTCGTGTTTGTGTTACTATTCGAAACAGTAATTTCGCTGTATGGTTTATTAGACCCGAATAAATTTCATTTTACATCCCATCGGGCCACAGATTTAAGCATTAAATAAAGGCAAACTGGTATTCCAAGACAAAACAAAATATTATGTTGGTAGCAATTTACATGGATAACTCGATCGTTGCAACAAGTCATAAAAGCGCATATAATGAAATAAAATTCGAAGTTAAAGATTTTAGAATTTCGTACTATTGTTTGGAGATTGAATTTAAAATACACAGAAGACGTATTAGCACGTTTCCTGTTGTAATACGTGTAACAGGAAATTACAGAACACTTTGATGAGAAATACCTCTTTTTTGTTGATGCAATACTGCGAAGACGTCAAAGTGCTGTCTTTGGACGGAGGAGGTGGTTCCTTCGCCCTGGCTTCCACTTCCTGAAGAACCACGAGCCTTCGATTCTGTTGTTTCCAAGGTAATGCGGTGAAACTTTCGAAGAAAGAGCCATCCGTCTCTTGAACCCTGAAAAATAAATTACATTTTAAATTAGAAACTGCCGTCACAAGTAAAGCGAACTCTGGTAATTGCTCAACGACTTACACGCCCAGTTTATTCGAATAATATTGTTTTTTTCTTTCATTAAGCATTTGATATCATAGATACATAATTTACGTTCTTTGAGGGAGCAGAAAATAATTTTACAAGCCTCAATTGCGATGCTCTTAAACAGGACAAACCTATTGTGGTTTGTATACATATGAAGGAAAATAAAAGTTTACTTTCCATAAATAAATGTTTATTTAATTTTCATCGTTGCAAATACAATTTGGAACACCTTTTTATAGACAACCCTTCAACAGGATACACAACCTCCACCAAGGACACCAAAATAATAGACAAATTAAAATTAGACAATTTGGAACACTTTTTTTATAGACAACCCCAACTTCAACAGGATACACAACCTCCACCAAGGACACCAAAATAATAGACAAATTAAAATTAGACAATTTGGAACACTTTTTTTATAGACAACCCCAACTTCAACAGGATACACAACCTCCACCAAGGACACCAAAATAATAGACAAATTAAAATTAGACAATTTGGAACACTTTTTTTATAGACAACCCCAACTTCAACAGGATACATAACCTCCACCAAGGACACCAAAATAATAGACAAATTAAAATTAGACAATTTGGAACACTTTTTTTATAGACAACCCCAACTTCAACAGGATACATAACCTCCACCAAGGACACCAAAATAATAGACAAATTAAAATTAGACAATTTGGAACACTTTTTTTATAGACAACCCCAACTTCAACAGGATACATAACCTCCACTAAAGACACCAAAATAATAGACAAATTAATAGACAAAATATAACAGAGAAATAGCCATATAGTTCATGTGATATGAAACTGTTAACAAAAGTAGAGTCTATGAAAGTATTCTTGGCAAACTATTAGAAGAGTCAAAAGTGAAATAAAGGATTTGAAACTGAAAAGTTATGGAAAGAACATTTCTCGTGTCCAGTATCCACAATCTCGAGAGACAAGTAATGAACAAACTAACGATAAGCGGGCAACAATTAATAACAATTATCGGTATCGTTCAAGGCAACTTGCACGGCTAATTATCGCACACGCGCGCTTTTCTGCGCTTTTCACAATATTGCAGCAACATCGATCCGTCGATGAGTTTCTTGTTTTTCCACTTATTTCCCCCCTTCTATAATTAATACACTCAATTCCGCGAACGAAAGTGACACACCGTAGCGGGGCAAAATTAAATAATGCAATTTAATATCCTCCTCTGTCCAATCCTTCCAAGGTAGTTCCATTAAATTACGCCAATAAATTTACGTCGGCGCTGGGCTACAATACGCGAAAGCAACAATATTTCGTTAGGTATAAAAAACGTAAATTGACCCGCAAAACTTTGGAAATAACGACAATATTTTTCTGCAAGTTTCTAAAATCGTGTAAATCGTGTCGTTGCAATGTTGAAATGAAATTATGCAATTCGCTTTTTTTTTTTTTTTTAGGTCACATGCACCTTGTTGGTTATTAGTGACCACAATTGGGTTACTTAGTGGAACTGATCATATTTAGAGCAATTGGTATACTTTAATGTCTTTTAATAGCAACTTGTTTTGTTTTGCACAGAGTGACTTGTATAATTTATAGATAAAAGTGTGATATGATTCAACTTCATCGAGAGTCATGTTGCTTCAATTCACTTCATTCAGTAACCAAGTTACTTCGTTAAGAGGATGCAATTTTGTGAAATATTGTAAACAGAGGCAATCTTTTCTGATCGAAACTGGTATGGCCTGATGAGGCTACCTTTACCCGCGAAGGCATATTTAATTTACACAATACAGTATTTTCTCTATATAAGCTCGGAACTCGTCCACGATATAGGCAAATATCATATCCCCTCTACTTATCCCCACTGCGTACCGTTAGAACTAAGCACTCGCTGTATCGGCGAGTATGCCTTCCTATGGGCGGTTCCCCAAGATAGCGGCGCGTTTGACAGTCGGTCGTCGAACATTGTCATACGATACGGGCTCAAATTACTAAGGCAACACTAGTGCAATAATACAAATTTTTTATTTTTCGTTTTCTTGTTTTGAAACTTTTAACATGTCTGTGACAGTTTTTTGATTTAACTAAGATCAAGTACAACATAATTTTTATTATTGTTTTTCATAAATTATAATATACATTTGACCTTTCTTTAAAGTGTATCCTCATCTGAAAAAAGGAATTGTAATTTAATTGACCTATCATTTATTTGCCGAAATCGTGAGACAACTCAGAGTAAAATAAGTTGGTTAAACAGTTTAAATTCGCAAGTTATGTATATCTTTTCGGGTTATATCACTATTGCAGTAAACGATCGATACATACATATATGTACTGAAGTTATGACACGATTTAACTAGTACATATACAATATTAAATCAACAACGAAATTCATCTTTATTTTTGTTCTTCCTTTTTTCAAACTTCATCAACATATTCGTGACACTTTTCTGATTAAAATGACACCAAATACGATATACAATTTAGGTCCTATTTACTAACGCAATAAGAAATCAAAGGCATGCATCGCTCAAGTGACTCCACGTCGGCTGTATCGAAACACAGGCGATGTTTACGCGAGCCTATACAGAATCAGTATTTCATTCTGCGACCTCTACCAAGAGAGGTAGAAGTCAGAATTAGAACACCGATTTCGTATAGGCTCGCATAAACATCGCCTGTGTTTCGTTACAGCCGACCCGAAGCGAAGGAAGCGATAGCAAATTCGGCGATGCTCGGCCGCTCAGTCCCTCTTTGTCATATGCTCGCTGTTCTTTTCTATACTCGCCGCCTCCAGTAGGCGTCAACAAAGTATCAAGAATCGTTTCTCGTCCACGATATAGCCGAGCGTTGAGCCCCGAGAGCGTCGCTTCTATAGAGACAATACTGTAATCACGTATGAGCAACTGGGAAAGATCATTTCAGCATCAATTCAAATGCAATGTTTGCTGTTTCGAAATGAAAACAAATTATGCAACTTGCTTTGTTTTGCACAGAGTGACTTGTGTAATTTATACAGGGTGTAAACGATAACTTTGGCAAAAATCATAGGGTAAGTAGAGGCCCCATAGGCAAGTATTTTAAGCATGGGAACCCGTGTCCGGAAATGCACCAGTAAAAAATTACGGCGATCTTTAACTTCGGTCTTTAGCTCCTGATGGATAGAAAACCCATCGTACTGGAAACTGTTTCTTTTGAGGTGGGTCAGTCGTGTAGGTGACAAAGATGACAAACATTGAAAGTTTTACGATGAACAACGTAAACATTTAATGAAATCATGGTCAAGAAACAATAAACTAAAAAAAGTTTGCCTACCCATCAGGCGCGAAAGACCAAAATTAAAGATCGCCGTAATTCTTTACTGGTGCATTTCCGGACACGGGGTCCCATGCTCAAAATACTTGCCTATGGGACCTCTACTTACCCTATGATTTTTGCCAAAGTTATCGTTTACACCCTGTATATAAAAATGTGATATGATTCAACTTCATCGAGAGTCATATTGCTTCAATTCGCTTCATTAAGTAACCAAGTGACTTCATTAAGCAATTTTGTGAACGGTACATAAATATTGTAAACAGAGGCAATCTTTTCCAATTGAAAGTGATATGATGAGGCTACCTTTACACGCAAAGGCATATTTAATTTATTGATATTCAAAAAACAAAAGACGCGTCCCAAGTTATCCGACAACAAACCATGTTTGGAATTCCAAACAGGGGTTGGATGCAACTTTTGTATACAAAACTTGCTGGTGGAACGCGTATTTTGTAAATTACAGAGCTGCCACAAGTTGCGTGTACCATCCTCTACGGAGTGTGGCATTAGATTTGTCTCGTCGCACTATCAGTTTTATTTCGTCTACCAGGTTCGAGCAGAGTTTTCCAGCGTGGTTCGACTCGCGGTGTCGCTTTGGTTCTTTTCGATTTAAATTAGATCCGTCGCTGCCCGGAGAAGACGGCGCGCGGTCGAAGGATCCTTCAGCCGCGTCAAAGACACGCCGAGCTTAGCGCGCTTTCATCTGCATATTTTTCATTTTGCAATTTTCCTTTCTCGCTGCCTCCTCGACCCCGGTCTCTGTTCCTTCGTGTGTGTGTGTGAGAAAAGAAGAGAACGGGAAGCGGAGATGCGCGAGCGGAGCTGCGCGTTGTTGGGGTGCTAGCGGGACAAGCGAGTGAAGCGTGTGTATACGCGAGAGAGAGTTGATGTACAGTTTTATAATTACAATTAAAGATACTTCTATTATTCAGTACGTGGCACGCTACAGAGAGAACTATTTTCCATCCCGATCTTCGCTCGAACGGGGGGCGTTATTGTTCGCGAGCGGCGATGTTCTTTCCGCGCTTTCGCTCATCCGAGCGTATCGAGGATTATTGCGTTCCGAAAGTCGAGGCAAAAATACACGTCGCCGGGCGAAATTATTTTCGAGCACCTGCAAAGCAAATTTCGTTCCCCGGAGAGATCTGTTTAATCCTTTGTGCACGATGATGCTTGAAAAGTGGGAAACGCCGCGCGTAGCACGTCGAGCGACTTTGTTGCTTGAAAGCAATAAGTCACCTCGCACTTATTGCAGGATTTTCTCAGTTTCCTCTATGCTTGATAGACTGGGTGTTCCCCTTTTTTCCATACACACTTCAGCAATGTGTTCTACAAGTAAAAATAACATTAAAGTGTTATGACTAGACTGCGGATGTGTAGGAGACGAGTGTTTTCCGTCGTTTCGCATCGATCGTGAATAAAAAATTAATTAACACAGATATGCAATTCAAATACTTTTAGTTGGAATATACTCTGATTGAAATATTATATATATATTATAATATACTCTTCAAAATATTATAATACATATATGCACGCAAGTAAATACATGTCACATGCCTGTTGCAGTTAATTATGTAATTTACAATAGATATAAATCTTA